GTATGCTCTTGGGGTCGAACTTGTGATCTTGGTCTCTTTCTCTCGCGTCACTAGGTTTGAAGAACACCTTCGCTCCAAGTGGTATCACCATGCCTGGGAATTCGCTCTTGTGTAACTTCAACCATGCACTACTGCCATCGCTCAGCTTCTCGATGTTCAATAAATGGCTTACGCATTCCACTGCAAATGGCCAAAAACATGGTGGTAGTCCGGCTTCTAGTAGGCATGTCGATGTGGTAAGCATCATGAACTGATTGTTTCTTTCGGCGAGTGAATTGTTCTGGGGATGTCCTGGAAGCGACTGGTCTAGTGGAATCCGGAGTTCCTTGAGTGCTGATTCAAATTGTGGCGCATCATCCGAGTAAGCGTTGGTGACCTTTCTCTTACCGATATAGTGCTTCATTGCCTGCACCACTTCGTCACTATTGCTTGCTTTCAATGGATAGCCCCATATCACACCAGTGAACCGATCTCGAATCACCAGTACATCCTTATCCGGCATGATCCCATCTCTCGCCATCTTCTGAGTGTTCATGAGATCGAAAGTGATAAGGTCACCGAATGCCTTCAATTTTCGTTTGAAAGCTCCCTTACTAGTCTTGTAGTGCTTCATCTTTGCTCTCACACATGACTTGCAGTATGGGTTCTTGTATCGGTGTGTCATCAAGTGCAATATGGATTTCGCCTCGTTCTTCAGCACTCCTGGTTTTGATAGTCTGGCTTCCCCGTCAACCACATCGACTTCCAATAGTCCCTCTTCACCTTCACCAATGTCACTCTCCTCTCGTTCAGAATCCGCATCACCTCCATGTTCGTCGTCTCCGGCTTCTTCAGGTTGACCATCGTGATCACGATCGGACCTCGGGTCTTCCCCGTCATATTCCTCTTCAGGAGAATACCTGTCATCACCGTGTTCCTCTGGTTCTCCTTCGACGCCTGCAACAGCTGGATTGATATCAGATTCACCATTCCGATCTCTCTGGTTATCTTTCTTCTTTCTCCTCCGTCTCCGTGGTTTCTTGGGCGGAAGTTCCTCTTGTTGTGTCTCCTGACCTGCTGTGGCCTCGTCTTCATGCCCCACACCTGACAGTATGCGATGAAGTATCGTAGCCAAGCCGTCTGGTCTTGGTAAGCATCTCCCGTCATCATCGTTCACCTTGATGTAGGGTATGTTGTCATGCACCGATAGCGGAATCTTGTTCGCGTTCTGGTCGATGAGGTATGGCAATTGATTTGCCGGCCATATGAATGAGTACCCTTGTTCCATGCACCGTTTCCCGATGGAAAAGACTGATGGTGTGCTCTCCAACACGTGTGCCTCGGACTTCATGGGTAGTTCGTCCACATTGATGTCCACCATCTCTGATGTACTAGTTACACCATTCGCTGTCATGAAACTCACGGATTTGGGTCCTTCCTTGGTGGTAAGGCCCATGGCATTGACTTTCTCTCTTGAGATCAAATCGTGTCCGCATCCCGTGTCCATGATCAAGCGTATTGGTGGTCCATCATACCTCTCCACGGCCATGAACATCGTGTCTCCTGGTATCGTGTAGTTGACAGAATCCTTCCTTACTACCTCGCTGGTGTTGAAATCAGACAGGTCGACGTTCACCTCGATTCCTTCATCTTGAGTGATTTGTATCCATGCCTTGGCAATGTGTTCAGCAGAGAATAGCTCCATCATCTTACCTTTGGCATGTGCTACTCGTGCAGCTATATTGCTCACTCTGAGGGCTCTCAACGACGAAATGAACTCGGTATCCACCTTCTGCACTTCATTCTTCTTCTTCCTGAGGGGACGGGTGTTTAGCTCATTACCAGGGTCGCAGGTGAACGTGGTCACGTTCGCCTGGTCATCAAATCTGACTTTAAAGCGAAGCGCCAGCTCACCTTGTTGTACGTTGGGAAGTGCGGGTTGTACGTCCTCGTCATCACTCTCGATGTCTCCGCAAAGCATGAAGGCTGGCGCAGCCGGTTTGGGCTTGGCTTTGCCTTTAGCCTCCTGCTTTGTAGCAGGAGCAGCTTGATGCTGACGTCGACATTTGTCCCCGAACTTGCACGATCCTTTCTGCCAATTCCAACAGACCTGATCCTTCATTGGCTTAGGGCTACTGCTCCTGCCACCTGGACTCTTTGATCTGTCACCCTTGAGGCTTTCTGGTTTCTTAGCAGAACTTTTGTGCTTCTCTTGGTGACTAAACTTGCATTTGTCTCCTCTAGAACATCCGTTTTTCCCATGGAAGTGGAAAGCGCATCCTATCTTGGACGTATCTGCTGGAGTCGCTGACCTGCCACGATCCCCCTTTGGGCTCTTCGTGGTTGATCTTCCACGATCCTGCTTCTTGTCCTTCTTGTTGTGGTCCTTCGGATTAGCCTGAGGAAGTACTGGAGCGGCGTCATGTTTCGGTGGATCGGCCTTGGTATTCTTGGGCTTCGCTTTAGGGTCCTTCTTCTCCGCCGCTGGTGTGGCTTTCACGATGTTCCCAAAAGCTTTTTCCCTTTCTTTCTTGTTTGTGGTCTCGATTGATTTCCGTATCCACTTCGTCATGATCTCTTGTAACTTCTGGTAGGTCTTATCCGGATCCTTATCCAACATGTTGTCATACACAGACAAGTCTAACGCCATAACTTTGGAATCCTTAATCTCATCCCAAAGCAGGTTGCGAAGTGCTTTATCAGGAAGCATGTCATCCGCATCCATACCTGATATGATCTCATCCCACTGTCCAAGGAATCTGGATAGTTGATTATCCCCAGGGAACTTTAGATCGAATAAGTGCTTGGATGCATACATCACATCAACGTTGTCGGCACTCCGGAAACTATCGACGATCAACGCTAACATTTCTCGTCCCTTGACCATTCCAGGAGTTGTGCCTCTCGCACGTTTCTGCATCATCTGTCTCACCTTCAGTTGTACGTCGTGAGATCTCTCACCTGCTGCGTGGATGATCGTGTGTAGGGTGATACCTAGCTTAGCGTCAATGCTAGCGAATCTTGCCTCGCCTGATGTCTCGAGTAGAAATGGGTCATATGGTGATCTGAAGGCATCCGAGAGCCATTGGATCCAGTCTTCTTGTTTCTCGTCGCCCGATGCCGTCACGACTGCCGCAACAACCTGGGATTTCCAAACCTCCAGGTCGTGTATCTTGGGCCATGCAGGGATGTTGATCTTCTCGTGTTCCTTCCGAGATATCTTGGAGCCACCTGAGCTGGAGGATGAAGCGGCACCATGTTCGGTTGCGGCTGCATTCTCTGCACTCATGCGCTCCTCTTCGTACCTCTTCCGGTACTTATTCCTCTCATCTCTGAGCCGTGATGCATGCGCTTCGAATTCCATCATGTCCTGTTGGTTCTGCATCATACCTTCGTAGTACTCGATTGCCTCTTTCTCCTCGGACCTTAATGACTTTTCAGTACGTTCAAGTTCCGCTCTAAGCTTGGTCATCATCTCACTCTCCACACTGGGTCCTGATCCCATGTCTGGTGGTTTCAACTTCAGTGCGACCTTCAATTGTGCTTCACTTGCGCTTGATTCGATCAATTCTTCCTGAAGACGCTTCAGCATCCTCTCTTTACGTAGAATGTCCTCTTCCAACATGTTCACCTTGACTTCGGCCTTCTTGAGTTCGGCGTTGGATGGTTGAAAAGGTCGATCGGATCTTTGAATCCTCGTCTGAGTCAACTCCTCGTTCGCCTTCTTCAATTGCTCTCTGATGCTCAAGATGAACTTGTCCTGAGTATTAGATCGGTTGTTGAGCTCCTCATTCTCTTCCGATAACCATTTGATCTTGCTTGCATATATTGCTTCCCTCATCTTCATCTCTTCAGCATATTCGTGTTTGTTTCTGGCACTCTGCCTTTGTAGCCCAACTAACTCCTGTCTACACAGGTCCTTGACGTTCTCAGCATCTGCGATTGTAGTCATGACCTCGGTTACGGCTCGATCTCTTTCTGCCGATATAGCCTGGATCTCTTCCGTGCCGATGTTCACAACTTGACTAACCATCTCTGCGCTGTTGCGATCAGCGTACTCCCCTAACTGGGTGAGACGATCCCGCATTGCCACACGATCAGTGTCCATCTGGTATTGCAGGTCGTGTGCTGCCGAGAGCAAACAGTCTCTGGATTCTGTAAGTTGGGTGATTCTTCGTTGATTTCCATATCCTTCGACATAACATTCTTCGAGGTGTGCCATCACTACTTCGTGGACTTCGGTCTCGTGTTGTATAATCTGGTTCTGTCTCTGCTCACATTCGACCATCCATGCGTTTTGGTGGTTCAACATATGCACTTCGGCAAGTAGTTGCGCACACTTCGCATTCAGGTCTCCATCGGCCCGTGCTAGTTGTAGGTTGTCAGTGCTTGCCCTTGCTCCATCTCCAGCTTCGCTGTCCGACGGCACTGGTACAGCTGACCCATCCTCCAATGCTAACACTCTCACCGCTCCGGTGTCAGTCCTCCTCCTTGTCTCCCTAGGGCTACGGCCTGATCTCGGTGTCCCCCCCGGTGGTGTCGAGTGCGCTGACGGGGAACGACTTCGTGCTCTACCTGTCGCACCTTCTCTCACCGTTGTCAGAGTCTCCGCTTCGATCGTACCTGGACTAGAGTTGTGGGATGCACTCACCCGATCTGCGGCCGCAGCAGCTGCTCCAAAAGATGCAGTGCTGGCGTCGGATTGGTCCATCTTCAGTGACTGAGGGTAACTGATCTATCCGATGCGTGTGCGTTTAGATGGTGTTGTGTAAGGCCGCAGCTCGTACCCAGCTCAAAGGAGTCTGGATACGGCTGATAACCTGCGAACGGATGGAAAGGTGTGCCCTGGCCCCGTTCTAGCCCTTAGTTCAACATGAAGCTCGCGCGCTAAAGCTCCTTGTTAACTGGTTGGGCACTTGAGCCAAAAGTATATGGCATGTACCTGTATAGCGACTATACTGGGACCTCATCCCTATTGACACCTTTGCTGTTTCTCCAATGAAGGCTGCAAGACTGGAGTCCTGCTCCTCCTCTTGCTCTTGTTGCTGCTCCTGTTCCTGTGCGCAAATCAAGGAGTGAAAGAACTGGCAAGGGGACAAGAGGAGGTGGAGCACACTGAAAACGAGCATGATCCAAGTCCGCCAATTGTGACAACTTCAAACGCCACCTGTGAAAGATTGCCAGATTCAAATTTCAATTATCAAACAACCGGGTGCGACCGGGTCTGTGTAGGCCGAAATCATCCACAGCCCTGTACACCCCATGTATTCCCATGCATTGGCAAGAACATCTAGCCATGTATAGTAAACGGTCAGTATATGCTGAGCATAGCACATTATTCAATATATAGATGGTCAAATCATGTCAAATCAACATTATAGATCTCACCAATCATAAATGCTTCTGGCTGAACTTCAACCCAAGGTCCACCTTTTTGGAATCCAAGAACCATCCAGATCCATGATTCAGGACCACCCCCCCCTTTGGGATTCCCAAGCCGGCTTCCTTTTCTTGGAGAGAACTGAACGAGAGGCCGCTCAAAGATCTGCCAGGTTTGCAAAGTTCCTTCCACTGGTCCAATCCCGTCCAATCCGCTCGCGCCGGCACCTGCTCGTGTACCACCTCCGCTGCAAAGCCCTGATGCATCTCCTGGTGTTCGGCCACCTGCTGGGTGGCTGTGACAGGAGCGGAGTGAGGGCTGTGACTGAGATGCCCTAATGAGAGTCAGATTTTTGGGGCAGAGGGCCACAGCCAAATACCTGGACTCGACTTCAAGTACCCTAGAAAATGGCACATGACCCTAGTAAAAACAAGTACTTGTATAGCTTGTAATGCATTTTCCGAGATACGAACGGAGACTCCAGGTACATGTTATTGGAGCAACCAGATTGCGAGCATGGCATGGACTCCACGCTACCCTCAGTTCCTCTGAGCTACCTTGGCTACAGGAAACACTTCGTGGGTGCCTTGCATATCACTTTCAACTTCTTCAGCTTTTCCGCTCACCTCAGCTCTCACTCAGCTCGACACCCTCCGCCACCCCACCTGCGACTCTGCCGCAATGCGCTCCAGGAGCACGGTCTGCCGAGCGAGGTCCTCCTGAGAAAAGGGCCAGTGCCTCGGAGATCGAGGGATCGACTGCCACCCTTGAAGCTGATTGCCAGCACATGCAAACACAGAATGAGTGGTGATTGAAGGAACATTTGTTGGATTTTATTGGGAAAAAACTTTGTCCATCAACCACCCACACTCCGTGGTGCTGGTGAAGACTCTTTGATTATAATATATATATATATTAATATAATCGTTCGGTGATTTTGTAAGGGGTCCACCTTCAAGATCAAAGGGTGACAGTGAATCCCCTGGGCGAAATGAATAGCTGGACCTCTAAAATCCATCGAACATGGGACCTGACAGGCACCCCCCAAACAAGGTACCTGGAGTCTCAGCTTGTACCTCGGAAAATTGATACAAGTATTACCAAATTTGTTGTAGGTTCTGAGTGAGATGCCATTTTATAAGTTACTTGAAGTCGAGTCCAGGTACTCTCCTGCCCCCCCCAATGATTCTGAGGTACTGCACCAGTCGACGGTAGGGCGAACGGCACCCTGCAAAGACGGTCTTCCTCTAGCTGCACCAGTCGTTTTTGGAGGGTCCATGGGGACGAGTTCCGCCGGGCAAACAGTTGCTCCTTCATGCGACTCCTTTTAAAAAGTGAACTCAGCGAGTTGAAGCGGATCAGTGAAAAAAGGGCGGATTCTAAGGGCGGGAGGTACAGCATGGTACAGCTATATATAACAAACACATACAAACACATGGATGTGGCAAATATCTGGGTCGTGGAGGAAAGATGAGGAAAGTATACTTCGAATGTGTGGGAGTGTAATCATCCTGCAGGGGTCATCGGGTGTTCCCTTCAGCCTTCAGACTCATTTCCACCAAAACATACCAAAACCACCATGCAGACCATGTAGCTCATCGCACTGCTGCTTCATGGTGTCCCTGTAAGACCTCCAACCAGTGCCGGTTCAGTGCATCCGATCCCACGGAACATCGGAAGAGCTGCGACAGCCGGACGCTCACCACGCCGTGCGGCCGAAGTCATCGAAACAGTCCATGGGACAGGAATATATGTGCTACGTAGAAACAAAGAACTCGCTACGAACGGAGCAAGGACAGGGCATCGCGAATCGAATGGAGCGATGGGACGCTACCAATGGAGCAAGGACAGGGCATCGCGAATCGAATGGAGCGATGGGACGCTACGAACGGAGCAAGGACAGGGCATCGCTACGAACGGAGCGATGGGACGCTACGAACGGAGCAAGGACAGGGCATCGCTACGAACGGAGCAAGGTTCGCTACTAGGAGCAAGGACGCTACGAACGGAGCAAAGGGCATGGGTGGCTTCTTCAGACCTTTGAAGGACCACCTGGAGTCTCAGTTCGTACTTCAACATACTTCAAATGGGGCTCCAGTCGTACCTCTTTTGGGTTTGGGTCATGTCCCATATGTTCGGTGGAAAAAAGAACAGCGGATTCCGCAGCTGATTCCTCCCCTGCCAGCCTCGGTGCGATGATCTGATCCTCCACCTTGAAGCTGATTTGGTCCTCCAAGGAGAAGGGAGGTGGCATTTTCGGTGGCGTATTGAACTTCTCAGGTGGAAGATACTCCCTGAGAATTGACTGGACCATTTCCTCCGTGGTTTTGGGGTTCCATGCAGTCCTCTGCAGGGGAGTAGACTGATCCGGATCATGTATGGAACAAATACTAGCTAAGAGTATATACATCAATACTGGATGACACCAAATGTAGCGAGAACATACTACCTCTACCGCGCTATATACCCGGCAAAAAGATGAGAGACAACTTGTGGGTGCACAGAATTCCTGGTGCCTGCATGTTCAAGAATACCAAACTTGTTTCTGCGGGTTTTTGACAAACAAGGGGACCTCAACAAAGCGTCCTGTTGCAAAAACCAGTGATCCAGGCTTGTTGGATTAAGCCAGTTCGGTTCCTTCGGCTGTCTACAAACCCCTCCAGGGCAGGTATATCGAGTCTCCAACAGGTTGGATATGGTTCACCTCGAGTTGGATTTGAAGGGAGACATTGTGAGAAAACGAGTCCCGAAACATCATGACTGAGCATGACCTGCCTAATTAAATTTAACCATGCTGACCTGTATGGGATTTGTCTGGCACTAGGGAATGGAAGTGCAGTTGGGATTCTGGACTTAATTTGAAGGAGCCTGAACCAAAGCAAGAAATCTTGAGAGACCCCCAAAGCAGGGTGGCTCAATTGTCCAAGTGAATCATCTGCATGCAGCACGCCACCAGCCTTCCAGTTTCCTGAATAATAGGCACCCTATGAATCCAAAGAGGGAAACTGGGACAGGTTGCAAGTCACTCATGACTTCTGTCCTGTCAGGATATGTACCTACTAGAACCTACTAGTAGACACCTGGCTTTGAGACATATGGCGATCTGTGTGGAGTCTCCGTTGACCTTTCGAATGCCTCGAAGTACCGCGGGTCAGACCAGAAGTCAGTCGCCGGGCGCAAGCATGCGCAAGCGAGTCGCCATCCGTGGTCAGGTTGAATGACCCCGGGCCCCCATGTCACATCTTCGGGTTCCCTGGAGGAGTGTAACTGTCACATCCATTTGTCAACCCTGTCCATCCTGAGGAGGCCTGGTAATGTGACCGATGAGGGTTCCAAATGGATGGGTTTCAGGTACATCGAAGTGGACGAGTTCGGACCTCCCCTGGATGAGCCTGGAATGGCCGCAAACAGGCTCTCAGGGGCTCCGCCTCACACGTGCGCGGTAGAATGAGTTCTTTCAGATCGGAGTATGTAGAGACAAAGATGGTGAAATGTTCTGCTAATTGCTGCAGTCGCAGTCGTGGGTTTCCCTCCGGGTCCGAATTGGTTGTAAATCCAAAGTTGAGTCTCAAAAGACTCCTTGCTTGTAGACCTTCCCAAACAAATTTAAGCAATACATGGAGTGGTCAAAAATGGGGGGAAAGGTTTCTTTTCGCAAGGTAGCTCAGTTCAGCAAGGTTGAGCAACCCATCTGACCAGCAATTCCTGAAAGAAAACAAACACATTCTCCCTGATTCTCAAGTTTCTTTCTGCCGAAACGAACTCCCTCCAAGCCCAGCGCTGCGTGGGCACCAGCTGGGCGACGAACGCCGCGTTTCTCCTCTCGACGCGATGCGTCACCGCTGGGCTCCCCGGCGGAGCAGAAGCGTCGCATCCGCTGGGCGGGCGGCATCTTCTCGTGGGCAATGACGTCGGAGCAAAGGTGTTGGAGCGCCTGAGGCGGTGGTGTAGCGCAGGTGGTGAGGCGCGCTGCCAAGGAGGTCAAGAGGGGAGAAGAACTTCTGAGAGTTACGGCCATGAAGATCTGAAGTGAAGGATGGACATCACGCATACCGCATATTATCCTGTTAACGCTTTCCATGTAAATTTGGAAAGCAAATGAAAGAACTGCCCCACTTCTAGAGATGAGATCGGATTGAAAAGTCGAACTCAGTCGATCCAAAATGATCCAAAGGTCCCGAAACTCAACCCCACCCTCGGTGGAAGAACCTGAACAGTTCCATCCTTTGGGGGCCCTGAGTGCCTCACCTGCTTCCGCCAGCCGTTGCTCAGCTCCTGTGCCAACAACTTCCTCAGTCAAAACACCAGAGTTTGGCGGTTCTTGGAAGGCTGGAGGTTCTTGGAGAGGCGGCTGATGCTTCTTCAGCTATGGATTTTGCTAGAAGTGTCGGAAGTGCCGAAGGTGTTCCGAAGAAGCCAAAGTTGTATCAATATCCATGCGAGGACTTCAACAAGTTTAAACTGTTTAGACCCAGGAAGGCATAATGGAAACTGGGTAAGAGATCAATCCACTATCCACTGCATAATACCATGGCCTGTCGGACGACCATTTTCCTCTATACAAACAGGTGGTTTTGCACTTCCACAAGGACACAAGGATTTCAGGGAGTGTGAATGTTGCTATCGCAGTTGCTATCTCAGAATAAACCCAGTCCTTGGCCCCAAACCCAAGCAGCTTGAAATCATGTGGCTGGGTCAGACTGGGTCCAGGCCTGTGCTGAGTCCTAATTCCTTCTCAACCTGGCATGTCTTCCTTGGCTTCATCACACCCATGGTCTTTGCACTATTGCACACTAGACATGAGTGCTCATATCATCTACTAAACAAATTGGCAAACATTTCCATACACTGTGGTTGGAAACTACCCTGATCAGGCTCAGAGTGCAAATGGTGACCAAGCCCCCTTCATTGAATCAACGGGTAAACAAAGTATTATAAAGTACTGTTACTCTAGAATGAGAACATGTGGCATGGGCAAAAGAAACGACCCACCTTGCTAGAAGTCCCAGTTCTTAAATCATCAACGCGCGTGGTCACACGTCTTCTCTTCTCGAACAACGTTGTGAATCGACCGAGAGGCAAAGACTGCAATGATTCGGAACCTGAGACTCTGGGGGATGTGGGTGGCGTCCATTGTGAACATCTTCAGAAAGACATCAAAAACTCTATAGCTCTTATAGTGGTTGCTGCATATATATATATATATAAGCTATTCCGATTGGCAGGATAGGTGTGCCAAATCCTTGACCACGCTTAGCAAACTAGTCTGAAGCGGGGAGCGGCCCCCTTCGATTCAAACTAATGTCTGAAAATAACTACATTAATGTCCTAAACCCACCAAAAAAAATATACTTGTAATTTGGTGAAGAGTTTAGCCAATTTTGTCCTTGTTCGGCGCAGTGTTTTGTGGATGTTGTTTGTTTGTTTTTTTGTTTGGTTCGTTTTCAACAAGCTAACGAGGGTCCCAGGGTGTTGACCCAAACACTACATTCCATGGATGTTGAGCATACTGTCGCAAAATTTCACAACACAACGTATTCCCTCCAATTATAGAATAAGTTAAATTATCCCTTTAGTGAATGAACAATTTCCAATTGTTTGTTTCAACTGCTTTCATTGTGCCATCGGTGATACGCCTAAATCAATCTTACAGTATGAGGGAATGATACTGGGAATGATAGGGTTGCTCGTACTGAAACCCTCGAAACCCTCGGAATGATAGGTTGCTGCCTGAAGTTCGTTCAACATCACCCACGGCCGGTTTTGCGTCCGTCCATGAACAGTTCGGAACAAGGATCGACCTGTTTTCGTTCGTTCGCTGGGAGTCGACCCGGGGAGACAAGTACCGGTTTTGGGTCATGTTTGTACCTAGACCTAGACCCTGCGGTCTAGGCAGCATTTGTTACGTTGACATCGGTAGACTGTAGACTGTTGAGGCAAGTCTTCTTGCCGTAGCTCCGTCAGTCGAAAGTGGTGCCGCCAAAGAAGTGAAAGTGCATCGGAAAAAAAAGAGTCACATAGAGTCACCATGTTCCAAATCTAACTGAGGGATATTGTTTTGGTCTGTCCACACCCTGTGTGCAGCTTGGCTGCTTGCAAAAGTGTCCTTCTCTTTTCAGTTTGCAAGTAGAGTTCATCGCTTTGATCATGAAGCACAACCCCAAAATGAAGCACAACCCCGGACATCACGGTCTCAGTGGACAGCATGGCAGGATTCGTCCACATATTGATCACACAATGGCTGAAAGGATTGATTGTGTCTTGAGGACTCCCTGAGGAAGAGTGGGTACCGGTAAAATCGCCGTAAGTACGGGCGGGTAAGGACGCCGTACTTCAAATGCTAGACATGTTGCAAGACCACACGAAAGGTCGAGTTACTCACTGAAAGCCAACAAGAAACCATAAAAACAAAAAACATGGGGCACTTCCATCAACTGTTTTTTCCACTTCACACCTGGTCAAGGCATGTAAAGCACCACAATGCTAGTCTGCCTCTATATTTGATATTTAAGTTATACATACGCCTTCTACCTTCAGGCCTTTTCAAAGAAAAATGGACCGTGTCTTCATACGGACATGACTCTTGGAGCCTCATGGCGTGTCCCCAAAACGGCCGCCAAATGATCGAAACCGCCACCGTTGGCATGAGATCTATGAAAGAACGCAGGATGGACAAAGGCGACGTTGCATGAAAACAACAATTTATTTGAGGCTCGGTCCTACATGTCCAATCCCCCTTTTTCTTAAATACTTGAGAGAGGAGGGGGTGAACGAAAGGTAGCAGGCAATCACAAGTAACCCTGGTAGAAGTCCATGACGGCGTGAACCGGCGCAGGGGGGATTTGATCCAGGGGGGGCCCCCCCCGTGGCTGGGAAGAATGTGCCCTATGAGGCGCACAGCTGTGATAAAGATTGTCAAACGTCCAAAGCATGTCTCCATCCCGCACTAGCACGCTCAACTCAAGCCGAACGCGCTGTACTCTGACAGCTGCATCGATCAGCACTATTCTATCTGGTTCAGCTTGGCCGGCTCGGGTTTCAAAACAGTTCTTGTGGTTTCGGAACAAGTTTGGACGGCTTGGTTTTCATGTGCTAAGTTAGCTAGGTTAGCTAATTAAGTTTTAACGTGAACAATGCCGGCCTACATATGGCAGTCCCATTCGTCGTGTCTGGGCATTAAGGATGCATGCGACAAAATGGTTTCTTTTCTCACCGGCTCTCACGGTCTGGAGGGACCCTGTGTCATTTGACACTCGTTGGTCCTCTTGTGAAAAGGGTATCGAAAACGATGGACGATCCTGGAAAGGAATTTCTCTTGTATCGATGCCCAGTGGTGACGATGGTTGTTGACGATCTTTGTTTCTTTCCGCTTTTCAAGAAAAAATCCTGTCCTGGTACACCTAAGGTGTTCCTTGGATCTCGGTCGCCGAAGAGCGCCACGCCGTACGTGACCACGGAGGCCCAAAAGGAGATCTGCCTGGTCGTCGAGGAGATCTCTCTCAGTGGATGTTTTCATCCAAGCCTCGCTCTTCCACTCATCGACACACTTGTGTGGTCCACTGAACTTTGTGAAGTCTGTTTCACGCAGTGGCAGCCCTACCGAGAAAACTGTAGGCTAGAGACTGTTTTGCGCTATTCATACATATGGTGACCTGTCCGACATCCGCGGGCTTGCCACAGCGATCAGGTCAAGGTGCGCTTCCGCATTGACCGCAAGAGCAACAAAAGCTGAACTGCAAGACTGCACATTTGGCAGCTGTGGTGTGTCGAGCGGTCATTTCTTCGGAGTTTGTCGAGAGATTCTATCGGGTTAAGTTTGGACAGTTCAAGTTTGACAGAAGTCTTGTCGTTTCATATAGTTTTGGGTCCAGACGTTGCAACTGGTATAGGTATAGTCACCTGGCCCGATGTCTGTGCCCACCTGTTACTCACTGTACCACACATGCACTTTTCACATAAACTCGGCCCTCCATTCGTCGACACACTTCTGCGCTGCCTCATGTGAGACAAACTTAATTCGTGCCACGCCATGATGCGCGCGATCATGATACAAATGCTGCACAGAACCTCAGGCGCCAAACGCACAAAATGCGACAGTTTCTGGTTCTGAGCTGAGCTGGGAAGCGCGCGCCCAGCATTAGTTGCGCGATGGCGCAATGAAAGAAAAGAGTATGTCCGTATTCCGTATCGTTTGGCAGACTAACATCGAAGGACAATGACTGCAGACTTAAGGTCCGCAAACATTTGTGAAACCTGTTGCGACTCAAACATTGTAATTAAACCTGAACACGAAGCTGAGCCAAGCAGCCAAAGAGAGCCAAGCAGCCAAAGAGACTTTCAGCGTCGCTGCGAAGACGCCATGTCGGCTGCCAACACTCCTTCACCACAACCTTCCTTTTTCCTCCAGCCTCTGGTGCACGGCGGCCGAGTTTGCGCCGTCGGTCCCAACAAACAGAATGGCATCGCCAACCAAACAGGAACTATACTGCTGGAATCTAATGCGTTTGACCTATCTCTTTCAGAAGCCATGGGGAACCGGAATGGATGTGTTCGGGAGAGGTATTGAATGGTATATATACCGTATATTATATATATATATATCGATTTTCAAACGCGGATGGTCATGGAGGCGTGTGATCGGACAATGTATTCAAGAGGTCTTCATGTATTGCCCGAGTCATCAACCGAGTGATAAAAACACAATACCTTCAAAAAATGAGTAGTTGATAGTCCAAAACATGTCACTCACTGGGTCTATGATGTATATACATGAATAATTCTGTATATATACATATAAACATGTATATAGATATGTGGTTTATCCGTCCGCAGAAAATGGCACCTTTTTCATATCTCACATTAGACAGATGATTTCGACTTCAATATGTTTGTGAGGGAGTAGCGTTGCAAGTCTGTGACACCAAGAAGAGTCATCCCTTACATTGTCAGTTCGCCCTGCCAGCCGATGATTTCCAAGCCTTATCTCTCTTTGGCGAACGGCTTCGATCCTGTCAAATGAATGCCGCGGAAACTGTATAGGTGTGAGGCTCGAGACACACTCTCCCCACGTCATTCCCGCTGCACAAACATATCACAAAACACTTCTCTCGCTCTAAGATGACAATCTTTCAGTAGGCCACTTGTGCCACTTCACGAATTATATCCCTCTGAAATTCCGCACTACAAACTGCAGGAAACCTCTCCGACGTACGCCCGCATTAGGCTCTCCTTCTTTGTGGTCGTCGGACTCGTCGGGTCCACCATCGGTTCCTGAATCACCTGGGATTTTCAAATTCTCACATGGACACGCAATGGATTAAACAATGAAAAAGGAACAAACCACCGTTGCAAAACCACTGGCGATCACAGCCACATTGTGTCTTGGCGAAAGAAAAATAGACTGCCCTTCGTACAGTTACCCCGTGTTGGTCCTATATAGTACACGCGCGCCTACGTGGTTGGATGTGTGTTTGCGCGCGCGCGTGTGCGCATGCGTTCCACGCTGTTTTCCTGACGGGTATTCTGTCGACTTTCTGCCTTTCTGCCCTTCAGGCCAGGTCTACTGCAGTAGCAGTAAAGCGTTAACTTTTCGTGTGAAGACATTTGTATAAAGCTCCTGCGTGTGTTTCGCAACATCTTCCCACTGTGGTGTGCTGTGTCACCCGTTGGAGGGTGCTGACTTAAGTGAAGAATATATTCTCATTGCGGTGTTGTATCGCAGCTCACCACCAGTTTGGAAAACAGCAACGGAGACTGACAGTTCTCTGCTAGTTCTTAGCTTTGGTGGGTTTGTTTTTGGTTGTAGGCTTGACTCACACTCCTTCAAGCACCGCTGACGGCACAATATTCAAATCAGAAACACGCCACCTCCCCACTGACATGCGCAGGAACCCTCAAGCGCATTGACGCGCCAGCTTTTTCTCCGTTCACAGGTCTTCAACGCTCGTCAGGATATCTTGGCAGGTTTCCGCATGTACACGCCTGCCCGGGACAACCCAGGACGCCGCTCTAAAGTGAAAGGCGTGCGTTTTTTTTGCACGTTGAGCTGCTGGTCTTCTCATGTTCAATCCTGCCTCAGCAACTGTCCGCTTCTCCGATTTTC